TTATGTTCATATAAATATAAATACATATACATAATCAAGTTCTTAAATTGTATTTTATCATTTTGATTATAGGTAATGGCAATCGAATATTATGATTAATTTTAACTTGTCCTTTGAATGTCATTATAAACGGTTGCTACTGTAATAATTGGGAAAACACGTAGGAAAAACTGGAAAATATATGAAATGTATTATTTTCAATTTTGTTTTTTATTTTGATTCAGTTAAAAATATTTATAAAAAATTTAAATTTTGACGGAAAAAATTTTATTTGCTTTAACAGATGTACATTAAATTTCCCTCTAAATTCTATACCTTATTCCCAACTTTTCACCTATAACAGTGACCTACCCATCGTGCGAAGTTTTTCCGACTTTTTTATTTGGTAGTTTTATGTCGATACAATTTTTTGACTTGACATAAATGCTTGAAAATTTAACATGAGGTATATATTATAATAACGTTTGTAATGGTTGATCATAGTGAGGTAATGTTTTGATTTTCCGTGTAGTTTTCAGAGTTTTCTAAATAATTGTTTTTGTCACAGTTTTGTAAAATGTATTAAAATTTATGTACGCGTCTTTATGGATGGCCAACGATATGTTTGACTTGTTTATAAAATAGAATAACTGAAAATTGTCGAATAGTTTAATTTTATATAGGTACGTAAAGGTACACATTATTACTTTTCCTTTGTATATGTCTCGTTTTGTGAAATTCGTGGACACTCTGTATATAGATTGAATGTGTGTACCTACACGCATTATTAAATTCATACATAACCTACAATTAAAGGTAACAGTGTTAAATACGTAAGCTATTTAAAAATAAGTAGGTAATTCGTTTTTTTTTTTTTTTTATTATTAAGTGTCTATAATTGTATTATCAATTATTGAAATAATATTCTTAACGTGTCCGTATTTCTTTCGACAAATAGCTGTATCGTAATAGTGGTGATACCTACTTACACGTGTTCTGCAAATGTCCAATACTATTGTATCTAATACTATATACATAATACAAGTATATTATATCGTCTATTGTATATTGTTCGTCAGAAGTTGTACTTATATATATAGTAGAAAAAGAGTGGTAGTCGAAGATGCATATACATTTAATAATGCCCATAATATATACTACCTATGTATAGTAGTCAAAGTCCATTATTTCATAAACGTTATAAGGGGGTACGCTGAAAATACGATACATATATACGTATGCTTATGTATAATATAAGACAAAACAAATGTTAACACATTCCATTAGCGTGAGTAACATACGACAAGTGTAGCTATAGACGGCATCAAAGACGACATGGCATACTCGGGGTTCGGATTGCGGCCGATTGTTCCAAAGGACCTATAAAAAAAAAATCTGTTTCAAACACGCTAGAGAAACCATAATAAATTATACTGCATTCGGAGAACGATTGTTACATTAAATAGCGTAGAACTCAGAATTAAAACTTGAATTTGTTTTTTCAATTTCTCTCGCTTAGGCATAATATTATTGACACAAGAGTTTCGAAAATTCGATCTCGTTAAAACGGACCTTTCTCACGCATTCTCTTTTATTTTTAAAAATGGTACTACAAAACATACATAAATTTTTAATCGAAAACTGTCAGTTGAGACGAAGACGACTACTATATGATTGAACCGGAGCGCCGAATAATTGTGTAATCAGGATTACTCGTACATACATTTTTAATGTGTACTATATGTAGGTAAATAAGCAGTATAATGGGATCACTATTGATTGAGTGAAAGAATTTAATTAAAAAGGTCTCATAATTCTTATTTTCGCGTTATAATGCATAGCATGCGTACACTTTTGGCCTATTTTAAAAACTGATTTAATTTAACTTACACAGGCAGGTACGTAAATTTTTTCGGTTTTACGACAGTAATAACGTGTTTTTCGTTGACCCAATTCTCGAATATTGATTCCTTTGTTATTATTGTTGTATTAGGTTTAAAATACTCCTGCAACATCAGTAAATTCAGTTTTATACTATACAAAATAAAATGTATCCACAATTTATTCAGATATTAATCAAAATATAATATAATAATCTGTATTTATACATTGTGTTCATTAGGAATACATTCTATATATGATAAAATATTCGTGTCTATTATAGTTTTTCATAATATACACACAGAAATAACCAGTAGACGTCATATGAAAATATACTCAAATGTATGTAGAAAACTCCTTTAAAAAGAGGAGGGGGTCTAACTCTTTAAACGGCATTTAAATAAAAAAAAAATACTTTGAAAAGTTGAATGGTTTAGAAATGCACGGCTACTTCAATTTTATGAAGGCAAATTTAACATACTACAAAAATAAAAATGAATAATAAAAAAGTTAAACCTCTCCTTTAAATGGATTTTCTCTTTGGTTTTAGATATATTATTTCCATACGCCAGTCAGTCACTTTTACTGGGAAACATTGTACCTACATCAATATAACTTATTTGTAATATAGAAATATGTATAATTCACATTTATTTGTAAATATTATTACTGTAGGTAATGCATTTTTGGCAAAACGTTTTATATTTTATTATAATATACTGTATTATAGTACCTAAGATGTATACTGCAACCATTTAGAAAAATGTTTAAATTTTATTTTTTATTTTTTTTAAAATGTCATTCCTTACAAGATTACAACATTACACAGTATAAGTACATTGTATTTTAACTGTATAGTGTAAAATTATAACATCTTTTCAATTTAATTTTTTGAAAACCAACAAAAAATAAAAAAAGCTGATATTTCTAATGAGTGTAGGTGTGATAATTGGTTTGTTTCTGATGGAAAAGTTGCTCACAAAAAAAATAAGCGTGCTACTAATAAGGATGGTAGGATGGTAGGATACATAAAGTTATTTATTTTATATCTGTACAGTAAACTCAATGTAAATCATTACCGATGAAGTACATGGTATATAGGTAATTGCCGACGCCTATTATAGTAAGTACCATTTATCACTCAGAATCGGTTTTTCTTTTCAATAATTTATCGTTACTTTAAGTATATATGTAAACTTATAATTATTCTATAAAATCCTACCTTCTCAAATTTCATCTATAACAGTGAACCATTAGTACGAGCATGGGATGTCAGTTTATTTTTGTTTTATATTTTTATTTTTTGTAGGTATTGGTAAATACAAAATAAGAATAATGTTCATTAAATACATATTTAAACACAATGAATGATAAATGCTTTGCATTACTTTATCAAATAATTATTTGGATATTATATACCTTTAACCGATGTACATAATATGATGTAACTATGTAAGTATAGGTAAAATATATTTGATATGAAAATATGGTTGTAGTTTGGGGTCATGTAACCTATACTGTTTTTTCGACGAAAATGGCTGGTAGATATAAGATTTACAATATTTTAATGGTAAATTATATTATTTGTTTTTATCTTAGAACCATTATTTATGCATTTGTGTATTCAATTAACATTTAATAACTAAGTTTATTTAAGATTTGTGTTGTTTATATACAAAATATGTGTCTATCTTATATTTCTTAATTGCCTATCCTGTTTTTCTTAATTACGCACAGTCCTATAAAAAGTTTCAAAAATTTCTCCAAACAGAAATTATAATTGATTTTATTTGTATTGTATATCAGACTTTTCTTTCTCTCTTTAATATGGGAATTGATTTTGAAATTAACACTTATAATATTTCGTTAAACAACATGTTTATCTGTACAAGTATAGGTACATAAGTACCTTGTTCACTATACCTATACTATAACATTCAAACTATTAATTAATGTCATTTATTTGTTTGATGTGAAACACTAAACTCAAATGGGTTTTTCAAAGTGTATTTTAATTAGGTACATCCACTGAAAACTGTTATTATATTATGTATTTACTATTTGTTTGTTTGTTCATTTTTTATAATTCAAGTATCATCTATACTGATTATGCTTAATGCATTTATGTTTGTTTTATTAAAAAGTAGGCAATATTGGTAATCTAATCTATAGAATGCGATTAGGGAAATTGTATTAAAACGTTTTATCAAAATACGGGCCCTATCTGTTAAAAACAAATGGCAATTGTTCAATACACTTATTTTTTTTTTTTTTTGTTAAAGTTTAAAGCAATGTTAAGATATATTAATTCTTGCTGGTTGGTTAAATTTACTATTATAATGAAGGTATATTGAAGGTATGGTGACGTGATGTAATATTACCTACAAAACATGCGCAAATTCTTAACGATTAGAACAAAAATCAATGTTTTTATCTAGTTTGAATGATATCATGAGTACGGTATAAATATATTGTGAATGTTTTACATTTTAGTACAATATGATTGCTTTCGTTTTACCATAATTCCATTTTACTTTTACACTTAAAGAAAAGTATTTCGAATAAATTTTCATTAAATATCTTTTCTTTTTTTTTTTGTTAGTTTGTTGAATACCATTTTATAATGCATTTCTATAAAAAATAAATATTATCTTTGTACAATAGATTTTTACTATTTTATAAAATTAGTTTACTTGGTATTATTTTCCGTTTCAAAAAAGAAAAAAAACAACACATTTGGTTTAAAATTTCACACAAACTATGATAATATTATGTATCTGTGATTTATTCAATGACATCCTCACATAAGTAATTATAACTAGGGTTAGGATGTTTATGCACTTAAAATCCACAAAAAGAGCTTTTAAAGAAATGTTAAAAAGTATTCAAAAGAGCAATAATGGTAGAGGGGTTTTAAAGTCTCCCCTTCTAATAATTATAACTTATTAAAAAAAATTTTTTTTAACTACAGAAATGATTATGACAAAATAATTTTTTTCAAATAAATGTTTACGTGTTATTAAAAAAAAAAAATATTTAGTGTTAATCATTTATCAGTGTTAAAAAATTGAATTTAATAGGATTCAAACCGTTAGATAAGACACTTTAAAAATCTTTTTAATCAATTTTTATCATTTTTGCTTTTATTTTTTAGTCCTTTTTGCAGATTTTTAGTGCATAAACATTCTAACCCTAGTTATAACAAACCCTTATTTAGAGAACTCCTCTACCTGTGACACGGTTGCCCAAAACGATAAATAATATTTGAAATTTACCTTTTTTTTATTTATTACATTTACTGTCAAATTATGGTTTAGAAATAATTAAAATCAACTGTACTTTTAAAATTAATTTATGTATCATACCTCAATAACTTCTCACATACAACAATAAGTGCACCAGTCATCAGCAGTCTTCAGCCTTTTTTTTTCGCGGAAAACGTTTTAGTTGATGATGTTTACAGTGTTTATTAATAGTATCATTTGTTTGTTTACTAATAACTGCAGCCATAAAATAATAACCATCCAGGATCTCACCGATTCCCCTCCCTCCCCGTTATATTTGCCCACTTACGTTAATTATTAATATATTATTAATTCATGGGCATATTTACGGGGGGATACAGGGGATAGATTCCATGGACTTTTTATTTTGTTTTTTAGCGACGATTAACAGGTATTAAAGTATCGCTATCTATATTGTTATTTCAGCAATTGTCATTTTTACTCGTTATCATTTTTCGGTTCCACAATGGTAGGCATATTACCAAAACGTACATAATGGCCTCGGTACTGTGTGTAAAATATCATTGGCTAATTTAAAATGGGCAATTTGCAGTGTTTTTAACAATGATAAAATAATAAATCATAAAATAGAGTGGTATAGTAAAAATGATGTGCTACATTTTAATTTTATAAATTTTATAGAACCGTCTCAATGGATTACTTGCATTACTAGAACTTCATAATGAAATAGATGTTCATCCTAATGAAGTCCTTGATACAATGGCACAAACGTCAAGAAAAATACATCTTATTTTATAAAATAATCCTATTTTAAAATAAATGCATTTTGTTGAATAATATGTAGTATTGTAATTTAAATTTAATGTACACCTACTTATTCTAATGTTATTGTTTGGGTGTGGGGGCGTAGCCCCCACTGCTCATTTTGCAAATAATTTATATATCTCCCCTCAATAAAAATTCCTGAGAAAGCCACTACATAATTCATTAGACCGGCGTTTCTGCAAAATGCATAGCTATTAATATATTATTTGTTCAATAATAATTTTTGTTTGTTCATTCGATTATAAAAATTTAATGTTATTACATGTGTTGTGAATGTGCAGTCTTATTAATTTGTGTCGGCGGACGATGGAGTATCGAAATAATACGTGTTCATACAAGTACATATAAATGATAATTATTATTGTAGGTGCCTATACCTACTATATCGAAACTTAGGCAGTATATTATTAAGTGTTTGGTATAACGGAACGCGATAATATGATTACAATAATATCGACGTCGGATGACGTGAATCGGATAGTAGGCAAACGCACGTACTGGAATTTGAGTTATCTATAGCGAACATTTTAAAGCCAAAAAATTAAAATTAAATGCTTTTTATTTAATATTATAAAAAAATTTAATTAGGTAAACGGAAGAGAATATAGTATTATGTTAGGTAAGTATTTTCTCTAGAGTTACAAGCAGACATCCCGATATTAAAATCAATGAGGGTCAACGAGTCTGTAGTTTTAATTAGGTACATAATAATATTATACGAGAACATATATTATGGTTTTATTTAAATTCGAATTCATCGTACACTAAAATAATATACCTGCGTTCATAAAATACAAGATATAATAATTTATAGAATATAAATAATATACATTAAGCAGATACATCATATTTTAATTGATGCATAATCTGATAATAAAACGTTATCACTGGACACTGAACGATTAACAAACATATCTAATCAGTTATGTATTTGGTACCTATTGCAAAAAATTAATTAATTTAGTTTCTGATTTAACTATTAAAAAATTTATTTATTTAATTTATTTGGCTTTAACTATCAACTTTTATACGGCATATCGTTATAATTGTACTTTTTAGATGAAGTTTATACGTTTATATAGATACTTTATGGTTTCAGACGATTCAGTAATTCAGTTGATTTTTTTCTTTATATCCAGGTCAAGTGTTATAATAAGTATTTCACACAACTGAAATATATTGAATAGATATACTGAGGTACCTAACTTTGCTTTAGATTCAGAGCGTATTGTAAGGAATCTATAGGTTTTTTTTTCATATAGTTATGTAACGTAGCGAGTCTATTGGAATCTATTGTGTATGTTTTATTTTTGTATTTTTTTTTTATATCTATGAACAACTTTTCTACCAGAAACCTTGCTGTACAAGAGATCGGTTTGATTCTACATAATATATAGCCACTGACAGAAAAATTCATTTTTTGATATCTACAGTGATTTTAATAATAATTGGGAAATCAAAAAAATACGAAAAATAGGTTTTTTTCAAATAATGGCGCAACAATTTCGTTATTTTAAATGTTTAAGATTATATTTCTCTACCAAATATGTTGTTCAAATTTCAAGAGTAGCATATTTCTGCAATAATATTTTGTCTAATTTGAGAGTAAAAAAGTTGTCGTTTGATTTTTCGTAATTTTCCTTATAGTTACGAAAAATCGAAGAAAAAACGTAGGAAATTCGGTAAACTGTACAGAATTTGGTTTATTTTTTTTATTATTAGGTTAAAAACAATTCTAGAGACTTGCAATTTTCACACAATACTTATATTAACCTTTTAAAGACGCGGTAAAATTGTCAAAACATTTTCTAACTATTTTTAGGTTATTTATAGATATTTGATAATTTCTTGTTTTTATATGTATTTTTATTTACTAGGTATCTGTTATTAAAATTATGTGACTTAAGAGAAATGCTTGCAAATTTAACACGAGGTACATTATAAGTTGTACTTAGTGATCTAAAAAACAAATTCGAGTTTATTACATTAGTTTTTTTTTTCTTAAGCGTTTTAAGATCAAATTTTGTCAAACATCGTAAAAATTACGGCATTTCAAAATATGTCTTACCGAACTTAGTTCCAAATCGTCTTTCGTTAGCAATGGTTTATCGTTAAGTACGGATATAAATTAAATAACTTTATGTATCTTAACTTCCCAACTTCCTACCTATAACAGTGGCTGTACCCGTCCCCAGTATCAGTTTTTTTTTTTTTTAAGAATTAAGTTTGTATACAATCAGTGTATAGAACAATAATTAAATTTGATGACTATTTATGTATAGTTAAAATAGTACAAAAAGAAGGTTAAAATGTACGTAATCGAGAAAAATAAGAACAAAATTCCATTGTAATCCTTATCATTATGTACGATTATATATGTAATACCAATTATTTAATGTATATATTGCACGATTTATTGTGATTTGTGTGTACTTATTTAAGTAGTTTTATCCAAAAGTGTTTTATATGCAAATATGTTATTATTAACTTTACACAGAACACTTTAATATTGGATACATTATTCATTTAGGACGTTGCGGGTTTAATTTATTAAATGCCTATAGCTATTAAATTTGATTGGATGGGCACATTAGAAGGAAATTGATTGATTTTTCTTTTAAACATGCAATTAGTATGAAGTAATATTTTAGTATACTTTGGTAGGTATTTAGGTCATGTTTAGAGAACAAATTCATATTATACAATAGAATTAAATATTAGTTCTAGTAATTTATCATGTATTTGAAATAGTATAATTATTTACGACATGGAAGATATATCGTCTTGTAGTATAATAAATTGTATTAAAAAAAATATATATATGATCAGAATTATTTTGATATAATGTTATAGTATGTAGGTTTTTTAAAAGCCACTTAAATTTTCATACGAACGCTGAAATGTCTATAAAATAAAAAACCCCAATATCGATAAAATATATTTTAAAAGACCTATAAGCGAAACCAGACATTTCCATTAGCCAAATAATAAAAAATAGTGCGATAAATGATAATTTAAAGTAACGTATAATTATTTTTAATAGTCAATAATATATTATACTTCAGAGGGTTTACCGTATTAATGAACCGTTCCGTAATTCTATTTATGTCTATAATGTTAAATTAGCAAATCGTCAAAATTAATATTATCAAAATTTTGCCATATTATAGTATTATTTGACGGTATAGGTTAATATAGTAATTCATAAGTATATTTATGGTAAATTTAATTTTACAAAATGTATTTCTAAAAGTTTTTAATCCACTAAATATATACATAAATGTATAATGTATATTCATTATATTATAATTATGTAACTATAACATATATCTATAATTGTATGAAAAAAAAGAAGTAAAAACACCCGTGAGCTGTAGAGCTTCTTCACTGGAGTAAAATTTCTCCCAGCCGACTTGTCACCATTGCAATATTTAACTTTTAGTTAAATTGCCTATTTTAATTGTTTTAAAATATCGTAATAAATTTTGAATGCTCTTTTCACAAGACGATGTTTTTGGTATAAACAAAGGACTAATGAATTTTCACTCTAATTGATGTAACAATAAAAAGTGGTGAAAGACATTTTGTATTATGCTACTCAAGCATAATTAATGATTTTTTTATATGAAAAAAAGAGTATGGCTAAAAATGGGCGGACCTGTTTTCGCCCAAAAGACATTTTTTACCCAAACTCAAAAAAGAATGATTTGTTTTTCGTCCAAAGTAATATTATTCATCGTAAATGAAAAAAAACCTTTTGTTACTACTGTCCACGAGACTGTACGTTACGCGAGTCGTAAACAATAAAATGCTTTCAGTTTAAATAGGAAACTTTAGATTCGAATTTAAATTCTTCATCGTAATCTCGATGATAAATCAGATAAGTTGTAGTCAAAAATTGCGATTTATTATTAAAGTTTATTTATTTTTAGAAAATACAGATGTAATAACTTGTAGAGACGATCAATTTTTAGTTCTTAATGATAAAATAAAAAATATTGTTATTTTTTCATGTAATACAAATTTAAAAATGTTATGTCTGGTTGATTATTTTTACGTTGACGGAACATTTAAATTATGTGCTCAATTTTATACAGGTATAAACAACACTTTTAATAATAATAAAAAAAAATACAGTGGTAACCAAAATGTTTTTTTTGTTTATAAAGAATAATATTACATTGAACGAAAACCAAATTATTCTTTTTTGATTTGGGTAAAAAAGGTCAATTAGGCGAAAACCAAAAAGTCGATTTTGGGTGAAATTATGTACGCCGAAAAAATTGTAATTGTTTAATTTGGAATCAGACAATAATTCATATATACATAAAACTTGAGTTGTTTAACTCATTTGGATTTTGGAGCTTACGCAATTTCGGTATTTTTGAATTGGCAATCGACAATACCAGTTTGTATCAGTTTATCATTGCTATTTTTCAGTTGTTCGAAATTTCTATAAATTACAAAACATTTTTTAAAAGTTTGTTTTTGGAAACACAATTCGGGTATAGGAAGTTATATCTATTAATTACCTATCTATGAACTTTTTAATTAGGCCGTTTTAAATACCTATGCACCCAAAAATATTATTCGAAACACTATAATTGCAATAAAATCCAAAGTAAAAACATTAGGTAACTATATAATAAAAAAAAAAAATTTTACATTCCACACCTAGTAGGTCATGTGTTTTCTGATGAAGAAAACATCATAACGTTTCACACACTAGTATATACAGTACCTAATAGGTGGATAAATACTCATTGTTTCCTCTGTTCTGTTTAAATCTAAAAAAAAATAACTAAGCACTATAAATTAATATAAGTCTATATATTATACAATTATGTCTATATTTTATATACTTCAATTTTTTTATATTAACTGCTTATATATCTACTCGTATTGAAAAAAATATCTGTGAGTTTACAGTAATTTTAAAGATTATATTAGATAAATATAGCTAATATATAGTTAGGTGCAGTCGAAGAGGAGGATTAGGGGGACGTATTCACCCTATTAAATCATTTTTTTAAACAATCATTTTCATATTAATACATTGAAAAAACCATGCTGATTAAGTACAATATAAAGTTTTGAGAATGATTATAGCATGATCAATTTATAATTTCTTTAACATTTATTTAATTTAAACATTGGAAGTTTTGTTTAAAATACTAAATTATTTCAGAATTAATGTACAGCAAATTCTATTTATTTCTATTTTTCAGTATAAATGAAATAGGTTGTTCAACGGTACAAAGTTCTAATAATAGGTACTTAAATAGTTGAATATTGAATTTTGTATTAGAAATTCTAAAATTAATTTTGCAAACCTTGTTTCTTGAATTAACTATTAGGTGAAATAAAAAAAGTCTATAGTAATAACTATAGACTCTATATTGTAAAACAGAAAATACATATCTTATAGAATTATAGAATTATGTATTCATATAAGAATGCATATTATATTATAAAAGCATAAAATATTCAGAAACACACTTAACTCTGAATAATATTTACGTGAAAATAAAACGTACCTCTAAAGTAATAATAAATTATTTATACCGGCAGATTTATGTATATTATTTAAGTAAACCTCATGCATCATAACCTGTACTTATATATATACCTAGATAAAAAAAAAAATGAAAATATATACACTTGGGAATAATATCCTCTAATACATAGGTTTGTTGAAATTTACGCATGGACCTACATTTTTAAGGTAAAAGCGGTGAAGGAAAAATATAATTAATTTTCACGGTGATAATTACCGTAAATTTATTTAGATACCTACATCCGTACTACGATGAAATATCCGTGAATACTTTAATCAAGACTAATTAATAATTACTCTACGAATAATTATATTTATGTTTAGAATAGGTATAATAGGCAAAATTATTTCCATTCCTATAGGTAATTCAAAACAATAGATATTATATTATTACAAGTCAGTATGAAATTAATTGAAGTGCCTAAAATAAAATTGTAATCGGATATACAATATTACATCAGCACGGCTAATACGTAATTGCATTATCTATCAAAAACATTATCAATATGAAAATAACACTATATTAATCTAATTTTTGAGTAAACGCTATTCAAATGAAACAGGAAAAAAAAAAAACTAATATTATTGGTGTCTGGTGAATAAAATTATAATGTGTATTTTTTTTTTATCAATAAAAACAAGCAGGGGAGATAATAATATATTATGCACACGACCTTATATTATTATAAACAGTGCATTTAAAACGGTCCCCTCGATTGACTTAAAAGTCAGCCGTTTAGCCCATCTTCCGTTATTACAAATTAGCCACACTAAACGATCTTATCCGCTGCAATAGAATCTCATCGTATCTTTAATAAATCGTTTAATTGTATTTGTACGTCACCCAGTTTAAGTTCATTATTAACTATACCCGAGTATACGTATAGGTACTTATCGTGGAATTTCGTTTTCAAATCGGTATACAAGACAAAAACAGGTAAGACAATATTGTATAAAATTCAGATATTTATATACTATTACACTCATTAGAAACTATATAAGAAACTATAGAAGGATTAAATAATTCCTCATATTCAATAATATTATTATTATTAGGTACCTACCTATATATACGATATTTTAATTCTAGAAATCTTACTATGGTCGTAGGAATAACCAGGGGTGTCGCTAAGAATTTTTTTGGTTTAGGCACACTATAACCTTCTATTCATAAACGGGAGTGGACACTTCTCCCAATTTTTGTATTAGTCTTCTATAATTTCAAAGATATAAACGATTTAACTTAAGCAAATAAGTAGATCATTTTAAAAGATGTAATTATTTATCTGAATACAAGAGAGTTATACAAAATAAAATTATAATTACTATACTCGTAACTTATAATATACATTTATAAAATATTTTCAAAGTAAAAATGTCAATTATCTTTTCTTTATGATAGCAAACTCGTCAATAATATCCGACGGGTTATCCATAAACTGTCTACTTATTTCCCTTTCTATGAAATGTAATATCAAATCATTTAATCTAGAACTTTCAGCTGACACACTATAGATATAAGAAATACAATAACTAGTTCAATTATTTTTTTTTAATTCTTCAAATCCAAAGTGACAACTTGTACTTGATAAAACAATTTAGAAAGACCAGAACTAGATGAAAATAAATTTTTTCCCAGTGTACATCGATATTTTAATTTAATAAGAAATTCATCGGAATGATAAAATAAAAAAGTTTTTGCAAAATTACATAATTTTTCACTGTCTAAAAATTATTTTCTCACTGGTTATTTAAACATGTAATCTCTGCACTAATACTGTTGTAAATACGAGTGTATTATTTTATATGTTATTGTTTTTTTTTTTTATAGAAAATCTGGGTAGGCCTGGGTTTACTTGGCCTATCTACTTGCTACGCCCCTGGGAATAACATAATACCGAGGGCCTATCCAGTATCTATTTAAAATTTGGGCATTTACCATAAATGTAATTATGGGGTTAGACTGCTTAGCGTCATCCAAGACCATGATTGAAATCGTGAACATCATAATCTCTACAAATTTATTTCATGCTTTAGACCTCTTAAAATTTTTACTTTAGTTATGGAATTTAAATAAATAACATACCTATTTATTTGTATTGAAACTAAAAGTAAATTTAAAGGTTGATTTTTTTTTCGGATCCGTCTTTACATAATACTATAGATTTAAATAATGTTTATAAATGGATCGATTATTAAACTACACCGTTAATATTTGTCCGTTATAAATATTATATAATATTAGCTATTTAAGACAAGTGATTAAGTATATTAACAAAAATATAACTAGCGTATTTCGAATTGAACGATTCGTAATTTTGGATTTTGTTTAAAATAACAATAATTATTGATTTTTCATTGATACGTTTTATTTTCGCGGAAAACAATTTTTCGTATCGATAAAATTACTTTTAACGTTTTGTCTACAGCAGCAAGATAATTATATACATGTACCTACATGTTTATTATTATTTCTTATCTTGCTGCCTCAGCCGTATGGTAAATTAGAAAACAGCAAGAAATTCAGTGAAGTGAGCAATAATTGCATTTTTAATTATAACAGTTTACATTTAATTTATCTATTTTAATAAAATTTAAAACGAATTACTATCTTGCACATTTTATAACCCAACCACCGAAAACAGTGACCTGCTCAATGTGCAAAGTCTGTAGAGTAGGTAGGTATCCAATTCTTTTTTAGAAAAAGTACAAATATCATAATATTGGACTAATAACTCATAAATACAATACGACTAATTAACGATATGTTTTATAATTATAATATTATTACTTAGCTTGCTTATTTAGTTATTACGTCATGCATATTTAAGTTAGGTACAGCATTTTTTAAAATATACCTATACTCTAGATATTATAGTGAATAGTTACTGATATTGTGGTAAATGATGCAAATTACGATTATTTTTTTTTATACGGGACAAAGTACAAATGATGCAAATTAAAAATCAATATTTATTTATCTATAAGTGTTACTAATTGTTACATGTAGGAAGTTATTAAAGTTGTTAACTGTATCAGTTTTAGGTGTTTTTTTTTTTATTATTGTAATTAATAATAAATACTAATTATGCAATATTTATAAAATCGTTATTCATACATTTTTTTTTTTTTTTAATTATAGCTTTATAAAAAAAAAAAGACGGATATACCTAGCACGATGGGTGGGCTGTTGTATGTGGTGAAAAGTTGGGAAGGTAGGATATAGAGGATAATTTAATGTATATCTGTACGCAACGAATAATTTTTGCTAACGAAAAACGATTCTGGGCGGGATTCGGTTGTACATGTTTAAAAGGCCGTAATGTTTACGATTGTCAAAATTGTATATTAAAATTTGTGTACATAAAAAAAAAATGTATATCATATTAAACTTAACGTTTTCTTATTGGCCACTTAGTAAAACTTATAATGAACCTCTTGTTAAATGTTCAAGCATTTCTGTTTAGTCTAACAATTTTTTCCATAGAGAACCTACCAAATAAAAATTACGTAAAAAACTCGCAAAATGAAAATGTATATGTTTAGCTCGAAAATGTTTTAAAAATTTTACCACGTCTAGAAAAAGCAAATATATGTTTTCAGTCAAATTTTCAAGTACCCACGAACATTTTAAATTGAATTACAAAAATTGAAAATAATTAAAGTAAAAACATTAATTAAATATGCAATAGAAGAGGTCTCTTGTCGTTTTTCTATTGAAGCAATATTTCAGTTATAAAACATCGTGCATAAAAATTTGAAATAATAAAACGCCGTGGCGCCATAAATTTGTTCGTTTACATTTTTCATCTTTTTCCGGTTTTCCCAATTATTGTGAAAACTACTAGGAAAATCTAAAAACTACCTCTCTAATGTATCAACTAGATAGAATATTCTTTCAAAAATAATTTTAGACTTAATACTTTGGAGCAAATTTTCTTTTTGAAGTTGTTCATAGACAGAAAAAAAAATATCATAATAATTTTACTATATGTTTTTTTTTTTTTTAATAAATCCAATAGATCCAAAAAACAGCAGTCTGGTTGAAGCAGGAAATTGAGTATTATTATTTTTAAATGTCAAAATTGAAATTGGTTACATTTTTATTATAGTCGTATGCGATCGTACTTATTAAACACGAAATATACGTATATCTAAATGTATTTATGGTGTATCCATGTAGCCGTGTATATAGGTAATCTCTTATATTCTCTGAAGTAGATACCTGTAAAATAACATCTGCAAGTTAATTTAATTTTTATACTTTTTAACTCAAATAGCATAGTTTTTAATTTTTTGCGCTCGGAATAATAGTATGTGTATAGAATGCGATAATTAATATTTATTAGACTTTCGGTTGTACCAAGCACATGTTCCGGTTACTCAGATATAGATATACCCAAAACCAGTGGCGTGTTGAACTCATTTGTTTGATGAGCAAAATTGTATACAAGGTACCCACCTACCCCACTTGTCCATCCTAACAAAATTTCCACCACAGCAAAAAATAAAATACGTATATTCGTAGAGATTTGTATAATCGGATGTACCTATTTAATTAGTTAATTTATTACACTCGTTATCTTACATCTTGATTTGTATAGTAGTGTATGCAGATTTAATAATGTATACAATATTGTTGGCAGTGGGGAAGCCAAGGATTCTGTATTATTATTATTATAATTAATATTATGCGGGTGTAAGCAATCGCGATCGTTAGCAAATTTGTAAAAACCAACTAGCTTATCTGTGTTTTCCTAATAATGCACCGTAACCGACCGACGACGACCGTCCGCATCGACGACTGATGTTTTCGACGTACTAATTTACTAAAAAGTACTACATTTTTGAACTATAATTGACATGTTTTATGCTGTAGAGACGTAGAGTGTAGGACGTATGTTACATAAGTAAGACACATATTCGTTTACGTAGTATATTTCTATTTTCTATGATATACCTAGTCATCAATGCGGCTAGGTATTTTGTAGCAGGGGGACCTAACCTAACCTAATCCAACCACGAAAAATATTGGAGGAGAAATTGCTCCAAAATAATACCATCAACACGCCACTGCCCAGAACAATAATTATATATACTAAACGTACAGATAGTATTTACATAATTATTTTAATTGTAATAAAAACAATTTCTTGATTTTAAAATAATATGAGATGCGTTACAGATGAATCACGGCTTTTATGTATGCATAATATTTATAATTTATATGATAATTAATTTAAATCTATATCAAATATAAGATCAAATACCCATACATGATTATTTTTCAACATTTTTAAAATGTAATTTACTACAACTTTTTATTATTGACACATTTCATACACGTACATATTATCGGATAATATTTTGAATTTACAGTTTTCTGTTTATGACTATTATATGACTAAAAGTAATACAATTATAACACGGTATTACGGTTTTAGTTTTAAACGATGACGTCTGCAACGAGAGTGCAGTAGGTACTTGTATTTATTGATTGTTGCAAATATAATACCTACGTAGTTATAAAAATAGGTAGGTGTTTACTGTTTTAGAACTTTAGAATAAGTGACATACTGTTTCTTTAATTCCGTCTCGGCTTGCTATATGCTACTTAAACCTATTATTAGATCGGTAATCGAACACCTACAATAATAATTACGAGTAGTACTTTATAGACCTGCACGATGTACTATACAATGTAATTATTTCGCGCGGTTGTTTGCGTCTATATAGGTATATAAATTTTTAAAATCTGGATTCTGAGTTTCACGTCTATCATAACATAGTATTTTAAATAATGTTATAGGTTTACTACTATTATGTATAGGTAGGTGTTTATTTTTTTAACCGACAATAGCGGATAATTTGTTTTAACATTACCACCCTTCACTATATACCGTCATCGTTTATTGATTAATTCAAATAGGTACAGCTTTATACGAGGATGAACGAACTGACCCACCACTACATCCCCAATCAATACAGCAATGAGTGACTATACACAATGAACATAAGGAAAATAACAAGTGTAGAAAAATTTTCGCGTTCTGAATTTTTCCGGCCCTCTGCTCGAAGAACCTGGATTATATCAGCATTATATTAACATTATATCTGAATCTAAGTACATCTACTCCAGGGCCTAACATACATCAGATTTCGGGGGACACAGTTTTCAATTCAGTATGATAGCGTTAATAGATTTCTATAGCAAAAACAAAACCCCCGTAGGTAATGTAACCCTTTATACACCACTTACCTAAATTTACACATTTATATTGTTTATACAAAATTTGGATTAAAAAATATCAACACAAAATAAATATAAGTGAAAGTTGAACAAATTTTCTTAAAATAAAAACATTTATTGGTTAGAGTAAGATCATCAGTTGACTGCTTTTTTTTAACTTTAGCTTGTGGAAACACGTTTTGTTACCATTCTCGCGGATGGTGGCTTTCTCGTGTACCTATTACCATGACGTGGTTTTTCACTGAACCATGACAATACGACTGCCTGTGGAGTATATTTCGATACTGATGGCATATTTATTTTTATTTTTTAACAATCTTTAATATTGTGCAAGATAGAACGACCAACGATTTTTTAATATATAGGCATATCATATTATAAGATTAACCGGACCGTAATTAAGGTTCGTGATAATTGTATAGCGCTGATAACGAGTAAGTTGCTATGGATTTTAATTGAAATGAAAAAAAAAGGACAGACATACTTCGTGGTTGTAGCTACTGTTGTAGGTGGAAAGTTGGGAAGATAGGATACAGACGAAAATTTAATGTATATCTGTAAGAAACGATAAACCATTGCTAATGAAAAAACGATTCTGAGCTGAGTTCAGTTAATAGTGTTGCTTTGTCAACAATACAATATATAGTATATATCATATTATGGTTAAATGATTAAAACAATGCGCGCTTCCATGACAACAATGAATATTTGAAAAATACAAAAATAATTAAAAACAGTCGTCAATGACAACCTTAGTTTTAATCTTTCAATCTTTTTTTTTTACCTAAAGAACCAAGGTTTTCCTCATTACCTCGGTTATTAATGAGAATTTCAAAAAAATGACCTCTTTAAAGTACTACCCAGAGAACATTTCCCTCTCAGAAAAAGTGCTATACTTGATAATGGGAGTACACTTTCTCGTAGAAAAAGTATTCGCGTAAAAATAAATAAACATTATTGTAAAATCAATACATTCCTCGCTTCATTCAAAATCTAAAATTAAAATACATTTCTGTTGAAGTTCCAAATTAGGGTTATTTCTACGATTAAAACTAATAAATATAGATAAACGTTATAAAACTCGGTACACAGACTTACAGTAATTCAGCGGACACACCACATCGGAGGCCCGTAGAGCAGATTCTCCTCTTCACGATCCGTTTCGCCGAGCCGGCATAATGTGATACCTAATAAACGATAATATTCATACACCATCACGTTCGCGCACATTTTAAATAATAATAATAATAATACCTTAATACAACACCGACTTGTAACACCACGTAACACTGTATTATATTATTAAATTAGGTATCCGGCTATGGCTATTTAATATAATAGGCGGTAGGCCCGTCCATTATTATATTCAAAACCAACTTACGGGTTTATGTTTGTACTGTAAATAGGGCCTTATACGTATTCCGCAGTTTCATTATCTAAAATTTATAATATTGTTAAACGTTTAAGCCGGGGTTAGTAATATACACGTATAAAACGTTTTACACGTTACACGTGTAATACCCCGCTTATAAAACGTATATAACTTTATAAAAACTAAGACATAATTATTATTATTATTTATTTTTTGAATTTTATTATAATAGTGATAATACTGTACATTTTTAATTTTAATGAGTATTTAAACTTATAAATTAATATAAGAAATTAACAAATCACATCAACTTGGTGAATTTTCTTAAATTTAAAATAAAATAAAAACAAATACAAATTATTTGTTGATGATATAAATATTAATGTGGTTATTGATAAATAATAAAAATGAACTTAGTAACAAATTGTTGCGTACATCTTAAGTTAATTAACATAAGATATACAGGTAATGATGATTGAATTCAATTGACAATTATTTTACTTGATAATTTCTGTTCAATTGCAGGAAAAAAAAAAAAATTGTATACAGTGTAAAACGTGCACAGCTAATAGTTTTGTACAGTACGTTTTATACAAACGTATACGTATATGTGTTTTACACTTCACTGTATTATACGCTCCAACCCTGGTTTTAAGCATTTATTTGATTACGAAAACGTCATGATGTTTCCACGTACGTTCTGTAATCAGTAGATATTGTATATATGTGACACGATGTCTGTTGACTGTGTGGAATATTGTATTATATTTCATAACGATTTAATGCCCATCGTGTTATTATTATGTAAACTATATTTTATACGAACGCGGTTATTATTGCGGCGATAATATTTTAGTAAACCGTCAAGGCAATCTAATATGATATTATTATTATAGGTATGGGTATGATATTATGGCCGAAGCCTGTAAATATTATTAACTTTTATATCTGTATTATAATACAGTGCGTATCCATACAATATACATACATACATATATATATGTGTACTCGTAATATTTTTTTGTTTATAAATGTGATTAAAAACGCGTTCGATGAACTCGAAACTGTGCGAATATCAAATGGACGCTATAGCTATAATATAATATAATGTAATTTGTAATAACTAAACCGATATATTGTTGTACAGTGCATCGTAACAGTAAATAACGTAGTCTAGTATTAGAAATGTAATGTGTGACTTAAGAAGTATGTTGCGGTACGCAGACGCGAAGTAGAAACAAACTTTTCAATCTGTATTTGCAAGTTTACAAGTTTACTGCGTAGGTGCTGCGTACATATTATTTCGATCTACATAAATCATAAGAACCCAAAGCAATAATATCGATTTAATACGATAGTCTATAACCCGCAACTTTAACGTAATTAATTATTATAAACTCTGTAATAAATAATAATAATATATTGTAATTAACAAAACGTCGAGGGGGATCATCAATCATCGTCAATATTTCACCAAGTATAATACGAACTGTTTTATTATTGTTCATTTTTTTTTTTTCTTTGATTTTCGGAAAATAACGTTTTTAACGTTTTGAAGATTTGAAATATGATCGCGGTCGCTGTACAGGTACCCGTGTGAATATAAATCAGTTTTCTACGCCGACGATATAAGTCAAATAAATTAGTAAAACGTATTAAAAATCTCTAGAAATACCGCCCATATACTTACTTAATGGACGTTTCGCAAGCAGTTATTTTACAATATAGTGACACTCTGAACGTATTATACACCTACCTGTGTCTATTACAATAATTGCGTGTTACGACGCCGCGGTGATAATCAGAACTAATAATGATAATAATAAAACTATACACTATAATGTCATCCCTCTGTATATTTTGTAACGAGAAACTATCTGCCGCGTTGCATACAATTTCGACAAAATCAATTTACTATCTATATATATATATAAAAAAAAAAAAAAAGTTATGATGTAATAATTTAAAATCAGTAAAGATACTATATTACACTCGTATATTAAAATATATGCTTATGAATATGTTTTTGTTTTTTTGTTTTTTTTTTTGTTTTTCGATTGACACAATACCGTCGACGACTATAATATCATTACGTGACGTTCGGATTACCTATACATATATTATATTGTACAGTGCAGAGTGCACACTGCATATTATAGTATATCGGATTACCGGACATTCGGATAATACGAATATTTGATCGTACTATAAATATTATTCATATATACACAATGATTTTTCTTTCTATTACATGAAATTGAACATAATATGACGCAGTGGCGTATTTATAAGGGGGAGATTATAGAGAGATATATAAGCGTATATCTCCTTTATCTAATTTTTTTTTTTTTGTTTCAGTCGATTATTTTGGCCCGCGGCTCTATGCTTAATATACAGATACCTATTCTTTAAATTAAAGTTTCTATACTGTTTAGTCAGAAAAAAAAAAACTATTGTTACCTATCGTACATTATTATTATAGTTAATGTATGATATTAAAACAAAAAAAAAAAAAATTGACGTACACATACGTTTTCTTGTTTAAAACGAGGCTTGCGTTAAAATAATACGAAAGCGGTTAAAAAGAACCTTTTATATTATGTAATATAATAAAATATTTTTGGTCTGTGATTAAATCAACTTTTAGAACTTGGTCTTTTTGTATATACATATCTTTAGTCATTTTTATTTTTCCTCCTTTATTTTCGTCTAAATGGCATGATAAATATATTGGTTTATGTATTTTTAAATTGAATTCGTTTGTATTGAACACTGCGGATGCGCAAAATTGATTCAATCCCTATTCTCCCCACAGACATATTATTTAAAAAATATATAAATCATAAAATTAGATGTATGTATGCAATATTTTGTTTTTCGGTCTGCGCGTCATACAATGTATGACACAATTTCCAAAACTATGTATCCCCCTCCGTGAAAAAATCATAAATATTTCACCGATGTAGTTTTTTTTCAATGCACATAATATATTATAGAGCTGCTCAGATATATTACACATGGTTTACATTTGGTGTACGTTTTATTTTTTATTTTTTTTTTAATATTAAAATATTATGTTGGTTGTTTGTTTACGATATAGTATATACATATTATATAGGAAACAACATGTACGTTAAAAAACAATTTATCTCAGTCAACACATAGTATACGCCTAATGAGCCCTGCAGGGGAAACGCCCCGTATTGCAGTCGGACACGGGTCTGGTGAGTGTTAATACGGATAAAATAATTAATATACGTTTTCTCGTATACAACAGCGATGAATATAATATTAATACTTTCATTTTTTTTTTTTCTAATTTTTAACTGAGAATTTACAATAATAATTGCAATATTACGCCCGTCGCCATCGAGGCATGCGAACGCAACAACAGCAATATAAGAAAACGAGAGTCGAGTACAAGTCACTGTGTACCTATATGTATGTATAAACAGTTTTTTTT